CATAAAATTTGTAAATCTAAGCTACATAAAAATATGTAAAAGTCAACACAGGAAAACTTTGTAACCATGGTTATGGATGAATGCATTAAAATAAAATATTTATTAAAGCATGATAAAATATTAAAATGAATTGTTAAAAAAAATGATGAATGATAAAAAAGATAGAAGTAGTCAACTAGTTATCAAATCAAATTTTTTAATTAAATATTTATAAATATAATTGAAAGAACTTATAACTTTTTTTCTTTAATGTTGTTACCATTGTTATTATTATTATCATTACTATAACTATAATTATTTTTATTATTATTATTAATGCTAACATTATAATGATTTAGTATTATTGTTGTTGTTTTTGTTGTTGGTGTTGTTGTTGTTATCATTATTATTAATATTTTCATTATTACCAATTACTATTGTTACTATCACTTACCATTTAATTTTAATACATACATCTGGTTAAGTTTTTAAATTAAAAGCTAAGATCATATTCATTTAACAGTCCCATTATTTTAAATTATGGGTTCTATAAATCCAGCATTTTTTTTTTTTTTTTTTTTTGTAATGAATTTTTTTTTTAAAACTGCTAACTTTTGTTTTGAACTAAATAAAGAAAAAAATTTTTTTTTACAGTTTTTACTATTATAAACACTACTCAACGCAACAAAATTATATTTTGTATATATATAAACATATAATTATTCATATAATAACACATAATAAAAAGTATGCACCTATTTTCAATTTGTGTGATAACTAACAATGCATGGAGCTGCAAAAACCTAATAATTATGCAATGTTAAATTTTGTGACATTTAGATGTATAATTACTTATGAAAAAGAATAATTTATGAAAAGATGGATGAAGGCACAATATTAAGGCAGGAACATTTGGAAACCACTATTCAATTTTGAATAATTTATATCCAAAGCATTAATTCATATCCAAAACATTAACTGCATTTCCCTTATTTATATTATATTATTTACTTTTATTAATTTGTGATATTATATTTTTTTTGTTTTTTTGTATTGTTGTATTAAATTATTTCTTGTGCTTTTTGTTATCAATTTTATTTTTAAAATTTATTTTTACTATTAATTTTCTTTGTATTTTATTATTAATTTTGTATTATATTATTTCTCTTTATTTATTTATAAAACTACTAATAAAAATTCTTATTCAACTTACATTTATTGATGCGCTAACTTCTGAGACTTATTAATGATGTGTTGACTTCTGAGGCTTATTATTGATGGGTTGATTTCTAAAACTTATTATTGATATGTTGAGACTTGTTGTTGATACTTATGAGACCTGTTGTTGTTGTGCTGACTTTGGAAACTTATTACTGATGTGTTGACTTCTGAAACATTTTTTTTTTTTTGCTTTTAACCTAAATTTTAAATAAAAATTATTAAATAAAAGAATTTAAAAGACCGAAGGCTTACAGAAATTAATTTTCTTGGACATCACACTATGTTTTTAGTGTAATGTCTTTTATGCCTCCTTAAAGGAATATCCTCCTTCGACATTGTGATGCCAAAGGAGAACATTATCTAAGGAGAACATTATCAAGAGAACATTATCTAAGGAGGACATTATCTAAGGAGGATATTATCTAAGGAGGATATAGAAAACAATATTGAAAATTATATTGAAAAAACATATTCGATGTGCATAAAAGTTATTGTGCTTGGATGCAATCTACTCTTTGATATTGGTTACTAAGTCATCCAACTTGTTGTAAATTTTGTTTTCTAGCCAGTTTTTCGATTAAGGTGATAATTTGTGGAAGTTTCAGACGGTGAATATGGTGGATGTGGGAGCAATTCCCATCCACTATTGTCAATCAATTCACCCATTTGATGTTTAACATGAGACAGGCATTAAAGTGTTAGGAGATAGTATGGTTCTTTTTTTTGTAGTTGTTTCACCTTTATTGCAGTAAAAGGTGGTCAAGCTGTGCTAGTTAATGGCAAGGGCTTGGTCATTGAAATATGATGGTCATACTCTCCCTACTTCATCTAAAGAGGTTTGCAATGCCTGTTTCAAACCATATGAACTATTTTTAACTTGGCTTTTGCTGATTGTTTCCTCAACAAAAAGTTTGTTGACAAAATTCTATTTCCTTTTAATTTTCAAAGTGCTACAGCATAATATGGCAAAAGTATGAGTATGGTTTTTAATATGCATTAACTTTTATTGTTATTTAAAACAAATATAGAAAATTATATTGAAAAACACATTAAACACTCATTTAAAAAAAAGTTGACTTTTGACATTTTTAAAATTGTAGTTACAATTTTTTACCCTTCATGATTTAAAAAACAAAAATTGTAGTTACAATTCTTTAACTCCATGACATTGGTGAACAGGGCCACTTCATTAGAGAAACAAGTATTGATTTAAAATTCATTGCATACTTGGTTGATAAATTCATTTTTTCCATTTTAAATACTTTTTTTTATAAAATGCAACTTTTAACTATTTTCTGATTTACAAACCAGATAAAAATTGAGTTTTATTTTCTAAATGAAACATGCGATTATAAAACAATTAAATCAGAGATGATAAAGCAATTTGGCAATCCTGTAAAAATATCTTATTCAGACTGCCTTCGTGAGATTGAAAATCATGAAATTTTTAACACATCATCAAAAAATTTTCTCGCACAAAATACGTTTAAGTCTTGGTTCAAATCAAGTATAGTAAAGAACTCAAAATTGGAGGCCATCCAACATTTAACAAAAAACATCAAAATATGAGTTAGGCTATTTCCAATGGAAGGTTTTTAAAACAACACAATCTTTTTTGTTAGTTTTAAAGTAACTACTCCAAACGGTATTAAATCAAAGTTTTTTTATTTTTAGTTGTTACAAAACATGGATTAAAAGATGGTCTGCATGAAACTTTGTATTTCATAAAGTTTTTAGTTAAAAAACAAATCATAAAAAGCAGAACTCTAAGTTCATCTCTGTTAATATTACTTTATGCTTGCATGTATTTAATAATCTATTATTTTATCATTTGTATGACATTTTATTAAAAATTGTACATTAAACTATTCATTTGTTAAAGTTTAGTATCTTGCTACATTTGCAAAAGCATAATTAAAATAATTAAAAATAGAAATTAATATTTGATATGTTTTATTTGTATACCTAATTGTATTTTATTTTGTATTACTTTTGTAATAAAATAATTGGTAAATCTCATTTGTACATTGTATTTAATTTAAAAGATTTTTTAAAAACATTTACTTGAGTATTTTTATTTCTTTTTGTAGATTTTAACAAAAATAAGAAACATATATTAAAAAATATTACAAATAACTTCTTTTTTAAGGATAAAAAACATTGAAAAAACAATTTAAAAGTAAAATGTTGGTACATACTTAATTGATAAGCCTTTTTTAAATGTGAATGCCTATCAACCTTGCAGTTATAGTTTGGTTTAAGTAATTTGTAACCTAAAAATAAAAGAACTAAAATAATTCTTTCAAAATTATGCAATTATGAAAACATAAGTTAACTTTTGCCACACAAAGCAAAAATCTGTTTAAACTAAAAAAACTTGTTTAATACAAAAATATAAATAAAATCAAATGTTTCACTAATCAAAACTAACAATAAGTTATAAACAAAGATAATATTTAAAAAAACAAGGATAATGTTAATTAATTTATCTACCAAAAAAAGTATAAAATAAGACTTTTCAACTACCAAAAAAAAGTTTTTTTTTTGGGGGGGGAGGAGGAAGGTTAGGGTTAAATTATTTTGTATTTTTAATAAAAAAAGAAGTCACAACATTATTTAGTCCACAATAGTATTATGAACTGTAATTTTGTATCAATAAAATAGCAATACATATATGTAAAGCTGTTTGTCAGACTATATGTATGTATGTACATATATGTATGTATGTATGTAGACATATATGTATGTATGTATGTATGTATGTATGTATGTATGTATGTATGTATGTATGTATGTATGTATGTATGTATGTATGTATGTATGTATGTATGTATGTATGTATGTATGTATGTATGTATGTATGTATGTATGTATGTATGTATCCTACATAGATATAAATACATATATATATATATATATATATATATATGGTAAATCTGCATTTAAGCGGCGTAAAATAATTATATATTTTTTACTTAAAAAAATCAACGGTGGTGAGCGTATTATGTAAAGTTGCGTTACGTAAGATATCATAATTATTAAAAAATAAATTTTAAATCAATTATTAAAAATAAAATAAAATAATATATTAATACAATATGCATTATTTTATATATAATAATAATAATAATAATATATATATATATATATATATATATATATATATATATATATATATATATATATATATATATATATATATATATATATATACATACATATATATTATAATAATTATTATTATTGTATAGAAATATATTTGAAAATAAAAATATATTTTTTTAAAGCTTTCTTATTTTAAACCTTTCAAAGCAATTAAAACTCGTTTTGAATTTCTTTAGTTTTTTAGTCTCCGCGAACGAGAGCGCAAAAAGCAAAATAATATAATTATTTTACGCCGCTTAACTGCAGATTTACCATATATATATATATATATATATATATATATATATAATATATATATATATATATATATATATATATATCACAAGCAATACGTTTCTTCTGGCAGTAGAATTTTGTATGATTATGGCAAATTATGCATAATTTATCATTACAATATATTATTTGTTTTTATTTAAAATAACCGATCGAGGTATGCGAAAATTTTTTTGCGGTAGATAAGTAACGTCGGTTTTGCTTTTTACAATTTTGAAAACTTGTCGGAAAAAAACTTTTTTTCCGGTCCCCTTAGTGTTCGAGATATCAAAAGTTCGAGATATCAAGAAAAGGGTTGAAAATAAATAAAATTCCTCGACTTTCACTAAAACAAGTTATTTTTCTGACAAAAATCATTAACAACAAAAATTACAACTTTTGGAAAAAATCTGTTATCTGATATTGCTTTAAATTATCCATCTTTTCCATCTTCATTAAATCCTCAAGTTTTAGTGCTAGGGATTGTATTTCATTTCCGTATTTTGAGCTGTATAGCGAAGCACTTTGAATTGTTTCATAAGCAATTTCTAATTGAATATCAGATGGGCGTGGCGGGGCTTCGATGTCAATAGCTTCTTCAACGCTATCTTCAACTTCATTATCGTCGTTTTCAAAATTAGGGTCTAAAATATGAGCATCAAATCTGAGATTTAGGGTCTAAAATCTGATTTTTCTATTATAGATTTGTTCGTGAGTTTTCGTTTAACGAGCGGCATGTTGTTGCGTTTGACAAAAAGAATAAATTAATATATTAAAGGAAAACCTTTCAGAAATTCGATTCTTAAAAAAAAATCAAATTTAAAAATCGAATTAAAAATTTTTTTTTTTCGAAAATTTGAATTTAAAAAAAATTAAATTTTATTAAAACATTTTTGAAAAAAAAAATGTTGAAAGTTCGAGATAACGAGAGAAAATTGCCTTCTGGACCGAAAATATTGTTCGATATTCCAAAAAGTTCGAGATATTAAGGTTCGAGATATCGAGAGGATTTTAGCCTAAACTAGTACGTTCTGTCCATGGGACCACTAAAAAAGTTCGAGATACTCAAAAGTTCGAGATATCAAGTATTCGAGATATCGAGAGTCGACTGTAATATTTACTTACCACTGTCATTGTCGCTGCTTTGATTTAAAAGGTGGCAATTTTGCACAAATCAACCCAATCGATTCCCAATATCGCACATGATAACTTCATAATAAGAACATTTTTGAAAAATATATTGTTGATTTTTTTTAACCACTAGAATTGATTTTTTTTTTTTTTTATTTGCATTAACTCCCAACAAGGCTGCAAGCAACCACTATTAAGTTGGGAGTTACTAGGAAAAAAAAAGAACAGAGTTATAGAGCAAGGAAACGGTTGACAGAAGACTTGAAAAGTTGAAGGTTGTAGGAGTCAGGAAAACATGAAGATGGGAGTGAGTTCCAGAGGATTGAAGTGCGGGGAAAAAAACTAGATGAATAAAAGGTTTTAGAGCATGCAGGGACAGATACAGTAAACGAATGAGACTTAGCTGAATTACGAGTGAATGAATTTTAGTTCATGGAACTAGAGATGATAACTCCTTTGAGCAGTGACCATGATAGTATCTGTAGAAAAGAGAAAGAGATGCAACTTTACGACGATGGGAAAGAGGTTCAAGCTTAGCAGATAGTCCAGGTCCAACAACATTTACAATGCGTTTTTGGACCTTGTCAAGAAGAGAAAGTGAATTGTTAGAAGAACCAGCCCAAATATGACAACAGTATTCCATACAGGGACGAATAAGAGATTTGTAGAGGTAGAGAATGGAATCAGAAGTAAGGAAATGGCGAGCACGATAAAGAGAAGCAACTTTAGCAGAAGCTAATTTAGCAATCGATTGTATATATGGTTTCCATGAAAGGTCAGTAGTAAGCGATAATCCAAGAAGACGTAAAGAGGACGACTCAGTAAGAGGATTGCCATTCATTAATATAGGAATGTTGAAGAGTGTTGGCCTTCAAGGATGACTTTAATAAACCGGTCAGAAAGAAATGATTTGATAATCTCAAAAACTTTCCCAGAAACACCATATGAAGCAAGCTTATGGAGAAGACCAGCATGCCAAACTTTGTCAAAAGCTTTAGATATGTCGAGAGCAATAGCCCTAGCCTCACCGCCTCCATTTAATGCACGAAAGGATCGAAAACCGTATTGATTGTCTGACAGCAGTTTATTTGATTCAAGATGAGATGTGAGGAATTTGTTGATCAAAGACTCAAATACCTTGCTAATAACAGAAAGAAGACTGATCGGACGATAATTGGAGGGGTCAGAATTTTCTCCAGAGTTTTTGAATATTGGAACCACAGATGCCATTTTCCAACAAGCAGGAAAACAAGACTCAGTCAAACACTTGTTAAATAGTTTAGAGAGAATTGAAGAAATTTCTGGAGAACAATTCTGCAAGACTGTGACAGGAATGTTGTCTGGACCACAAGCTGTAGACGAGTTTAATTGAGATATGACTTTAGCAACAGAAGCCGGAGTGATTTGAATGTCTAACAATGGGTCAACCTGTTTGACTGGAATGGAAGGAAGAGAATGTCCATAAGATTCAAGAGTGGAATTAGAAGAAAAGTTCTTTGCAAACAGTTCTGCCTTATCCCTGGGAGAGGTAACAAGATCAGTCCCATGAATGAGAGATGGAATGTTAGATCTACCCTTGTTAACAATGCTGTTGAAGATTTTCCAAAAGTCTTTAGAGCCTAACTTCTGCGATAAGATGCGAGATTTAGTGAACTGAGAATAATGGAATTTAGCATCAGAAAGCACCTTTTTACATCGATTTCTTGCAATAATAAATAGCCGTTTGTTCTCAAGAGAGTTGTTCTTTTGAAAAAGATAAAAAAAATGGTTACGATTGGATATAGCAGCCGCACAAGAAGGAGAAAACCATGGAGTAGAGTGAGGCTTGACTTGAAACCGACGAGAAGGAATAAAAGCTTCCATTTCAGCCTGAATCCAGGAGGTTACGTAGGAGGCGCATTTGTCAGCTGAGAGAGAAAAAACATCAGCCCAAGGACCATCACGAAGAAAATCACGAAAGGAATCCCAATCAGCTTTAGGGTAGTAGTAGGTGGTGCTATGATAAGGTGAGCCCAAAAAAGAAGTACGAGAAGAAAGATTTACAGAGATCATTGTGTGGTCAGAACCACCTTTATAGAAGATTTATAGAAGACAATAAATGAGGCATTTTTAAAAGAGCTCTTATTTTTTCCGTATAGCTTTTTTTTTTTTTTCTTTTCTTTTCCTTTCCAAAATAATATGTAGGTAAATTTATTTTGGTAAATTTACATTGAATATATTACTACAAGGTAAATTTACATTGAATATATTACTGGACTTTCAGAAGATCACACGATCTTATCATGAAACCCTTTTATCAATCTATATTAAGAGTTAAAATACATAAATAAATTTACAAATATTCAAAACAATTTTTAAATGCCTTAAAAGGCATTTAAAAATTGTTTTAAATATTTGTAAATTTATTTATGTATATTTATTATATATATATATATATATATATATATATAGTATAGTATAGCTATGATGGTAGATTTTTCTAAACAGTATGAAAAACATTAGTAATGAAACTGGAATGGAATATTTTAGTAATGTATAATGCAATTGCCTGGATTACAATTTTTGGCTGAATCAGGCACTTCGTCGTAATAAGGGAGAACGGGGCTTGTTGCAACACATTTTATAAAACTGGTTTATTTCTTATAGCTTTCATTTTTTTTTTTTTTTTTTTTTTAAAATTTAGAATCGTTTTTCATAAGAATATAGTTGAAATCGTTGAGTTAATGAATTT